ACTTATAAGTGAGGGTTTAATATTTTAATTAATACGATACTATGTAAATTTCGCTTGATAATTAGTTTAATTTGATTAGTCAATAGTTACATTTTGATGCTATGATGTTTGACTCGGGTCAGGCCAATTTTTGACCCGTGACCCGTATAACCCGTCGAGTCAGGTCAACCTGTATGAGTCAACTGACTCGGGTAACATCTCTAAAAAAACTCATAAAATATATGTATCAAGATAAGAAAAAAGGTCGTAAATTTAACTTATCTGTTGATTATATTCTTGTATTAAAAGATTTGCAAAAAAATAAATGTGAATTATGCTACAATGAAATGTTGTGAGAATGGGATGAAGCTAGAAATTCTGATCAATAGACGGTATATCGAATTGATAATGAATTAGGTTATATTAAAAGAAATATATGTCTTGTCTGTCTTGAATGCAATCAGAATTATTGAGTTTAGCCCACTCAATAGACCAATACAAAGACAACAATTCTTATAATATTTTTTCTTCTTCTTAATAATAATAAATATCTAATTTAGAAATTTATAGATATGACAATAGATAACTAGCAACAAGTAATAAATTGATAGATGTTAGTTCATTTTGATACCGCATATTTCATATAGACGTATGATTTAAATAGTGGTAAAGCTTACAAAAAATCTGGTTATTTAATTAATGCATATAATTCATATGATACTGTATATAGTTGTAAAATTCCAGAAGAATAAACATCTAATTAAATTGTGTATAAATCTATTTTTTATGAATGATAATAAATAAATATAAGAGTTAAATAAAAAGTATTACTTAATAAAATCTACACATTTAATATATACGATATAATATACATATATACAACCCACTTCTTATTCCAGATACTATTGCTGAAATTATCTCAAAACTTTTATTAGGGGATTTAGATAACTGTATTCAAATTAACTGCATATGGTATAAAGAAATTTGTCATGAACTTTATAAGAGATGTAAAAACTTTAATACAAAATACTATGATTTATTGGAAAAACTAGACAGATGCTATAGAAAATCAGATATAAATAATAATGAAATTGAGCCTATATATAATAATGTATTGACAATATTTGATGAGCTTATAAAAGTAGAAAGGTATTTATTAAATAAAAATATGATCTTCAGTAAAAGAATTAGAAATGCAATATTGACCAATATTGAAGAAGATCATTATAGAAACCTATTAGATTCATATAATTTTGGAGAAAATATATTCGATTATATAAAATACATTGAAACAATATAGGGTTTTATTCGTATATTAATTATCCTTAAGCTAAATTTTTTTCTACGATATTAGCGAAGATCAAGCGATCTCTTCCCATACTAATTAATTCGTGAATAAATAGATTACCAAATCTAAAATTAGTATTTAAAATTAGTTTTTATAGTCATGAAGGGATACAATATATAACAAGCTAAGTATAAAGCAATTTTGTTGTAAAAACTTATCTAGCTACAGCCTATAATAATATATACTAACTTCTTAAGCAAAATTTTATTCTTGAATATGTCTACTACTTCTTTTGCACTATTTTACTCCTATTATTAATATCAAAAATCTCACATATAATATTTTAAAAACTCTCAAAGATGATATTGTTAAGGGTAAAAAAATACCAGATCTAAATAATTGTTCAGAATGTGGAAAAGAAATTATTTCACATCCTCTCAAAGCATTCATGACACTATCTTGTGCACATGTCTTTTATAGAATTTGTATCGAAAAAAAGCTTTTACTTACTGTTCCAAACACATGACCATCTCTGGGTTGTGGAGATAATATAGAAATTATTGAAACAGGAGGTAAAAGGAGTTCTGAATCAAGTACATCATTAGTAGTTAGAAGGATGAAAAAATATAGTATCCAATCTCAAATATGCCAGAAATTCCAGAAGAAGGTATGTCAGATATAGATGATAATGGAGACGGTGAAGATAATTGTCCAATAGATCAAAGCACTATCTCTTCAGAAAAAAAATCCTGCAAAAGATCTAGTAAAATACTCTAAAAATGAATTGTCTAGTAAGAAAGTAAAGACTAAAGACAGAAATTTATCTATGTTAAAAAAACTTATTAAGAAGCTAAAATCGTCAAGTTTTTCAATGAGTAGTACCACTTCTTAGGCTAAATCTATTACAAGCCCAAGTAATTTTTTCGATTTATACAGTACAACTGTTAAGGGCTGAAGAACGAATTGAAAGTGTGAATCAAGAAATTATTATATGTTATTTTGCTTTTGGAAAAAAGCTTAAGGAAAGGTTAGCTGAGTATATGAAAACTAATAAAGAATAGATCTCAGAGAAAACTTTATGAAGAAGTTGAAAAACAGCTCCTATCTAACCTCTCGAAAAATACAATTGAGAAAAAAATAGAAAGAGCAAGGAAAATTTATGACCTTTTCAGTAGCATAGGTGAGGATAAAATACAACGGGTAAGTTCTTATTCGGCATTGAGAATTTCTAAATTAAGTTGGGATGAAATCAATGCTATAGAAGAGGAGTTTGAATAAGATCATCTTTACTGCGCCACGATCACGTGACTTTGATTGACCGATCGGTCAGTGAAGCCAGAACAGCTAAAATACATTAAGCCACCAAATTAATAAAAATTTTGTTTTAACATTAAGTATTGATTATATCAAAATTACATAGTTTTTTGTTGTGTAAAACCCG